GGGAGGGGAAATACCTAACCCGGAACCTTGAGGACATGTCAAGATAGCTGGGCAAAGTCACTAACCTCTCCGTGTTCCTGAGAGCTGAAGGTTTCACTTTAATGAGGTCGTCCAGGTCTTGGCTATTCAAAAGAGAAGAAAATAAGCTGAAGTTAGTGATGGGCTTTTTGGTAGTGCTAGTTCAGCAAAGAAACATTGCAAACCCACTGCACCCAGGGACAACAGACACATGGAAACGTGAAATGACTGCTTTTATGTGATCACCTCTGATTGCTCCTGACCGCTGCCGGATTCACTCTGATGAGGTTATCCAGATCCTGGTTTCTTTAAATGGAAAAATGAAAAGATTGCCCATTAATGATAAGGTTCTTTTGATAAGATCATTAAAGTTATAAATCTGCGTGATGTACTAATCAGGCACCATAGTCTTCCTGACGAAAGCACAAAAATTAATACAGTTCTATTACCTTTGGCTGTTGGCGACAGTTTCAGGATTCACTTTGATGAGCTTGTCAAGATCTTGATTTCTTTAAGTGGAAAGAAATTAAAGCAGCGAGGTTAGAGGTAATCAGGGTTTAAGCTGGTTGGAAATAGGAAGAAAGGATGTGTTATCTTGTCATTTAGTTTGAGATGTATTGACTTGGCACAGAACAGCCTTGAAGTAAGTTCTTTAACCAACCCAGGGGAGTGCAAATGATGCTGGATCAGAAGAAAAATTTCTCTGATCCACGAGCTTTGCTGCCAGAGCGTGTCTCCCAGGGCACACTGACCATGTGTTCACAGTGGACGTCTGGGGATTCAGAACTTTCCCCCCTGACATGTTTTAACTTTATGAAGACACAAACTGACTCTAGTGTCCTTGTTATTTTAAAAATCATATCCACCAACTAAATATATTTTAAGAAATAATAAGCTCTAAAATTGGGATTATCCTTAACATAAGATTTGGCAAAAGTGAGTTCCAGCAATCCCTCAAAATTGAGTTTTCTTCCCTCTCTGATGACTGACAAACCAAATGAGACTCAGTTGCTCATAGTCAAATAAGTGGCATCCTCTGAAATGTCTGATTCCTATTTGAAGTTCTGTTTCCCAGTCACAGGCCACTATTTGCTTTCACGTGCTTTACTATCATTCACTGCCTCAGGATGATGCCTGTTTTTAGGGCTGGGAAGTTGTGATTTTTCTAAGCTTTCCTCTAAACCCCTTTTTAATATCTATTCAAAGGAATACAATCGCTTGTCCTGTCGAGAAATCCCAGTACTGATAACACATTTGGTCTTGGAGAGCAAATGTCTGTACCTCCTTCCCTCCAACAATGCTTTCTAATCATACAAAAATATAACATACTTTATTCATTAAAAACATTGATGCAAGGGAAGGGGAGCCACTTAGAGGTCAGTCATCAGAAAGGTCTGCATCCCCTCAGCCCCAACCTCTCCGCGTGCTTCCCCCCAGCTCCCGGATTCCCTCGGTTCCATCCATTCATCACCTTTCTCCTGTCTCTGGGGTACACAGAAAGCCCCTCACTGGATTTTCACTGTTTTGAATTATTTTCAATAATAATATTCTCAAAGATAATCAATTGCTATCCACAAATACTATTAAAAGAATGATGAACATATGAAAATTACCCATTGCAAACAAAACTATTGATTGTAAAATCTGTCATAAAGCTAAACTGTGCCTGAAAGACAACAATCCTTAAAATTAGGTTAATGGCACATATTAGAAGAAAAAATACAAAGAATAAAACTTTGTAGAGGAGGTAATATGTTCAAAAGCCACAATCTTTCAATATATAAAATTAACTGCAAACATGAGAACTTCTATTTTAACCTTTCTGCTGAACATAGAAATCTTGATTCACCCAACTACCTAGAACAGTGATATTTAAACTACTGTTTTATAAAGACCATTAATAAATAAATATATTTTACATCACAGCCCGATACTCTTTTTTCAGACAGACAGACAGACAGACACATGAAATAAAACATAAATTTCATGAAATAACACCCTCACTACATAAGAAGAACTCTCATTTTCTACTCTATTTAATTCATTTTATTTAATTGGGGAAAATGCTGATTGACACTCCCTAAATTACTTACAAGACCCTGTAATGGTTGCGACCCACAGTTTGAGAAACATTAACTTAGAAAACATAAATGTCTATGTTCTATTCATAGTCCTAAATGTTAATAAAACAAGGATCTCAATAACAGGCCTGAATTGCTTTGATTGAGAGCATCATGCAATTTATCTCAGTGAATTGAAAACAACAAATTTATCAACTTTTTTTTTTTTTTTGGGCCCTTGGGTCCCTGCAAACACAGGAATCTTATATCTAAATTTTATCCAGGAAAAATGTAACATTTTTTCAACTCAAGTTACTGCTTTCATTTATTTTGGTTTAAGGATTTAGTAAAGGCATACATCTGACTATTAATACCTATTATTACTTCCATGTAGTTTAAAAGCTGTGCAATGCTTCGCAGTTATTTGCACATTTGTGTCATTGTCATCTATGAAGGAATCATTCACGTGACCTTATAAAGCAGTAAAAGACACCTCCTGGCTGTCCCATGGCAAGAGCAACAATCCCAGCTTTATAGCCTCCTCTGTTTCCCTGAGGTTCTCAATTAAGTCTGTGTGCTGTGATTTAAAGAATGGGTGTTGGGCTGGGAGTTAGGCTAGAAATTAGAAGAACTCAGGGAAGACAGATTTTTGCCCCTGGCCTCAGTATTCTCATCTGTAAAATGAGGAGATTGGATTGGATCATCTCTAAGGCTCTGACCACCTCTAACATCTACTATTTCTAGGAATCTATGAATCTGAAGTTTACTGCTTGTCAATTAGCTATTCAATGCCTTTTTTTCCTTTTAAATGTAAAGCACTAACAATGCATTCTACATCCAGCAAGCAGTACGTGAGTATTCCAAAACGTAATATATTAAATTGACAACCTATTATCATCTTGGAATAACATCTCTGTGCCCCATAATTACCTTTAATCTATGATAATTGCCTGCTGTTAATAGGATTCAGAATGTCTACTGAATTCTCTTTTTGGTGTCCATGGCCTATAATTATATCTAGTGCACTACTCATGATACCAGCTGTAAGCTTCAAACCCAGTAGGTGCTCAGCAATTATTCACTGCCTAACAGATCACAGGACTACTATCCGTCGTCCACTAGTTCTCTCTAGTGGTGACCCTGGTCAAATCACCTAATCTCTCTGAATCTTAAATTCCTCTTCAGTGAATTGATTTGATTCAAATGCAACATCTTTTCAAATGTTCAAACTAACTGGGCTATGAGTTCTCTGAGGTTCCTTCATTTCACCTCTAAAATTTTCATATGTACCAATTAAACTCAAGAAGAAAAATCATAAAAACATTGTTAAGATATATATATTTGTATATTAATAGTGCATAATGATATAAAAATCTTCATATAACCAGAGACAAAAAGTGAATTTCATCAACTTACAGATACTACTTAAAGAATTACCAAAATTTAGGTCCATAACTTTGCTGGGAGCAGCAAACCATCTAAGAAACAGTAAACCTCATAAAATTTCCACTAACTACCAGAAAATACTCTTCAAAAACAAAGGTGAATCATATTTGCTGGTGCTGAGTCTAATGAAGTGTCTAGGCATTTAAAAAATTATCATTAATACATTTTAATCAATTTGAGAGACAAAGGCATTAATATCAATTCTGCAAAACAAACAGCACATAGACGTTAGATTCCTGCCACAATCACTCTCTTCAGTTGCTTTACTTGAGGCTGAAAAAAGTGAAGCTACCACCATATAAGTTTTTCAGCTGCCTTTCTTTCTTGCTATTAACAAATAAATCATCTAAATTTCCAGTGACATATAAAAATTGTGATGCTTTTAAAAGACTATATTCAATTTGTAAATAGAATGATTATAAGTCATTTGTATTGATATTGTGCTTAGTTAAGGAGAAACAAAACAAAACAAAAAAAGAAAAGAAAATGAGAAAGAAAAAAAATCCTTCTCTTACCCAGCCATGTTTTTGACAGCTTTGGGGCTTAGATTAATAAGTTTATCAAGACCTTGTTCACTGCTAAAACAAAATAAAATAAAAGGTCAAATTCAATTGGTATCAGCAAATTTTATGACTGGCATTTTTTCCTTTTGACAGTTGAATCATTCCATGAAATCTTAGATTAAAAGTGATAAATGTATTGTTTCTACTTTATATACATTAGTTATCTTTTTAAAATTCTCAAAACAACCTAATAAGATGTATATTACTACCCCTTCCCCCCTTTATAAACAATGAAACTGAGCTTTAGAGAAGTCAAGACACTCCTAGGGGCCAGGTACCTAAGAAGTGACTGAGGGTGACCCAGGATTGAAACCCTGGCAACTGGATGCCAAACCCATGCTTCCTTTTGCAAACACCCTTCCTCTCTCTCTGTTCACGATTCCTTACATCTGCACAGCGCTTTTCACCAACATTATCCTCACAAGAATTAAAAGGCAGCTTGGAGTTGCTCTGCCATGCTTTTCTCAACTTCTGTTCCATTGTATAATGCATCTTAACTTCTTGAGAAGACAGAAACAAATTCAACGTCATGCAAAAATATTCTAATCAAGTATAAGAATGTTATGTTGCTAATTTTCTTAGGAATCGTTTAAAAAGTAATCCTTGGGTTTGCGAAGGAGTAGAGAGCCAATTTATCTTTAATTTATTCCATTTTATAAACTGACAATGAACTAAGAATAATTTTTTTAAAATAACCTCCTAACTTTAGTTTTTTTTCAGTGGTAGACAGTAAGAGGAGAGGGGAATAAATGAGGGAGGAAGAAGGAAGGAGAAATTTTCTTCACATGAAAATCTTCTTTAGACTGCTTAGCTCTAGGAAATTGTTTTGGGGTGATGTTTCTCTCATAGGCATGGGCCACAAACCCCATACTGATAAGAGATCTTTTAAAAAATTCTGTCCCCTCCACGAAGGCTCACAGCCAGGGAGCCCTGAGCAAGGACGTAAACCCAGGTTGCTGACACAGAGCTGTTGATTTGGGGTCCCATCACTGACTGTTTCTATGAAGGGGCAATACATTTCATCACATTTTTAAAGTTGAACAGGAAAAAAAAAGCAGAGGAGAGAGAGGAGAATTCCATGAACCTCACCTCTGGGTAGATCTCTTTGTTTCAGGAGAGACTTTGATGAGGCTGTCCAGACTTTGACCCCTTTAAAACGTTATAGAAATAATCAGATCAGTGGTCAATTCACATCATGTGGTTGCAAATATTTATTAAAACTTAAAAATATTTTTATTATAAAAATATTTTATTATGAAATAATTATTTATTAAAGCAGAGATATCTCAAAGGGTTGGAGTTTTTCTGTGCTGATCATGAATATATATTTTTTGGCCCTAACTATAACTGCATAGAAATAATAAACAATAACTAAGGTTTTTAGAAAATTTATGATGTGCCAGGCACTGCCCTAAGTGATTTACATAATTTATGTGATTTAATCCTCACATCAATTCTATGACATAGGAAGAACTATCACCCCAATTTCATGAAGAGTAAAACTGAGACATAGAGAGATTGAGATTTTCCTACATGGCTAATAGTGGCAGGGTTGGAACTAAAAGCTAAGTAACCTAACTCAGAATGCATGCACTTTCCATTCCTCCAACCATCTTATCGGGACGTAGTAATGGAATTAGCGTTGGAAGTAACTAGAGAACACTTTGCCCAACCTCCTCACTTTGAGGGTGAGAAAACTGAAGCCCAAACAGGGGGAGAAGCCAATCCCGTTCGCACAGCTAGTGAGGCAGAGCCAGGCCTACACCCGCGTCTATGGGTTCCAGTCCCGTTCTCGTTCCCCTCTCCTGTGCCACCCCTCTGCTTAGAAAAATAAANAGGACGTAGTAATGGAATTAGTGTTGGAAGTAACTAGAGAGCACTTGGCCCAACCTCCTCACTTTGAGGGTGAGAAAACTGAAGCCCAAACAGGGGGAGAAGCCAATCCCGTTCGCACAGCTAGTGAGGCAGAGCCAGGCCTACACCCGCGTCTATGGGTTCCAGTCCCGTTCTCGTTCCCCTCTCCTGTGCCACCCCTCTGCTTAGAAAAATAAACAGATCAGCAAATAAAAGCATCCTGTCCATCCTGGAAAAACAACTATTCATCTAATAATTGTTCACATTTTAGATGTAAGGTTGTAAAGGTTACATGGCTTCTCTTGAACTCTCACTGAGCTCAGTGTCAGTCAGCTGAAATGATGATTTAATTCTATTTTAAGCACTGGTCAGCATGAAACAAAAAAGAAGAGCTATTAAATCTCACCCTTGCACACTTTTTTCTGTTCTTGGATTCACATTGATGAGGTTATCAAGGTCTTTGGAACTTTAAACAAAAAAAGCAAATAAATACAAGGTAAATAAAAATGGAATTAAATCAACTAAGTATTTTAACTTAAAGAATATATGTACTCAAGATGAATTATATTATTAAGTTTTGGTATTTGAATTAATACCAATATATGCCCTTCATTTAAAAGAGTAGGAAAAAAAAAATGACCTCTATACAAATCATGGACCTACTGGCTCAGTTTCTCATTTACCCTCAAAATAAAACCATAAAAGTAGGCAAGATTGAGTTTTTTTTAAAAAAAAAAAATCAGTTCAGGAATTATATAATGATTTGCCCAAAACTCTCACTTGGTCTCTCTAAGTACTCCATCTAATGCTGTAGCTGTGCTCTATTTTGTTAATAATTTACATTTATAGTGCATTTTCACTTTAAGGGGATTTTATATCCATTAAAGGTGGGAGAAACATTATTTCTCATTTCATAACTAAAGAAGCCTAAGCTCAGTGTGTTCAAGGCACCCACATGGCAAATACTGGAGTCTAGACTTTCTGATTCCAATTCAAACACTTTTCAACACAGCTGCTCTGATGAGTGCCACAAATTGAGGCAGATGGGGAAGGAAGAAAGATAAGACACAATCCTCACCCTGAGTCACTTCTGTTTACTTCAGGGGTCACTCTGTTGAGATTGTCAAGACTCTGGCCCCTTTAAAACATTAAAGAAATGATGAGGTTAATGAGAGATTAATACCGAGTGGGTAAAATTATTTATTAAAATTCAGAAACAGTATAAACACTTACTGAGATCTTGCCAAAGAGCTGAAGATTGTTAAAGGTGACTATGCAGAAGAATGTGGGAATTTATCCGTCCCTAAAACTCACTGAGACTCAGTGAGAGAATATTTTAATCTTGGAGCCACTGTGCCAGTAGCAAGGGCTGTACTAGGACGTGGTTTCTATGATGATTTACCTAATGGTATACTCTTAACCTTTGCCAGGTGCACTAAACATTTTGTAGTAGTCTATATATACATCTCATGGAACATTCCAGAAGGCATCCACTTAATATCTAACTTCAACATGCTGTGGGACTTTCAAATCAACTTTCGAGAATATATCTTTTGTAAATGACATTCTTTAGCAAGTTTGCTATTCACAACAATGGATTAAGATTAATATACCAGTTTGTTAAAGTCCCTGATATACCACCTGGTAGCTGCTTTGGGTACTTATAACTGTGTGTTAAAAACTACAAATTTTGACTAGTTCTGTGTCAGCAACAAACAACGCAAAGATTAAAATCTAGGGAGCTCTTAAATGTAAAATATATTTACTGTAATATAAAACTCTACATAGTCACTGAGAACACGCCAGTACTTTATTGTTACCCTTTAGTATCTGCTTCTGATCTTAATGGAATTTTGCTTTTCTTACTATTTCTCCTTACCCTGTGGCCCTACTAAGATCGTATCATAAAGTCTCTGTGTTGCATCTATATATTAAAGATACAAATATTTGGAAGCAACCAGATGTTGACTCAACTTTTACTTGTACCCAAATTTCTGAAAAGGTGTATACCACTAAAAGCAGCAAAACAAATTGTAAACTTTTTCATACAAATAATGAAACAATTAACCCAACAGGAACAGCCATTCTATTCCAGAATACTCCTTGTTGACTTTTTTTAACACGTGACTGGTTTTTGCTTAAACAAAGTATGTGAGATTTAAATACCAGTGACCAAAAAGAAAAATTCCTGGGATTCTATGTCCAGGTTTTCGTACTCAAAAAATAACACGGCAATAAGCATTATGACTCCTTCTTGATAATATTTGTGTTGTTTGTGGGGTTTGCTTTGATTGTATTGCCAAGACCTTGATCTCTTTAAACATATTAAATAAAGTCCATATCAGTATAAGGTTGTTAAAATTTCCAAGTTTGTAAAGTCACTAAGGCAGGAATGAGCCTGGGATAGAAAAAGGATCAGTCTGGCTGGACTTTATTGAACAAGTAAAAGGCCATCGCCAATGGTTAGAATTTTATTCTACCTGAAACGTGATAATACTGAGACCTTTTAATAAGGGAGGAAACATAACCTTATTTTACTTCTAAAAGATCTACAGACTGCTGCACACATAACCATACACACATGAATCTCCATGAACTTTTGTATGCATATGTACACATATCACACATAGGCATGTGGATACACCCATACATACCAACATGTGAAAAATAATAGGTGAAATACTCTCTTTAATAAAATACTCTCTTTAATAAAAATTATAAAGGAAAACATGGATTTTTTTAGAGAGCCACAGTAAATTAAATATTTGAACAGTATCTAAATCATTAAGAAAACATAATCCACCTGACCTTTATTACTGCTAACAGTTACTTGTGTCTACTATGTACTAGGCATGATAGTATTATGATTCCTATTTTGTAGATGGGTAAACTGAGGCACAGAAACACAGCTAGCCAGTGACAGAGTCAGAACTGAATCCAGGTCTTTTGGACTCCTTGTTCACATTCACTACCTCAAGTTACCTCCCCGAACCACCAAAGTAGCCAAGGAAGTCAATGCTTTCTTCTCACTCTGTTGGTTGCAAAATCGTAGAAGTCTCTAGGCCTCTGACCAAGCCGGGCTGCTGAGAACAGCGCTGGCTGACCATGAGTGCCTCAGCTCTTCAGCTGGCTGAGCCCTTGCTCTGTGACTGGGCCTACAGGCATCAGTGACACATTTTAGAATCTAATAATACCACGTACTGGGTTAACTGAATGAAAACGAGTCCAACTAAAACCACATGGAAATATTTGGTACACTGTTTTCAGCAACATGCCAACAAGCTCAGTTTTAAAACTATTTCCATATGAGGGGGTTTTGGATGAGATTCACATTCGAGTCCACAGGCTGAGTAAAGCAGATAGCTCTCCCTAACATGAGTAGGCCCCATCTAATCAGTTGAAGCCCTGAACAGAACAAAATATCTGAGTAACAGGGGACTTTGCCTGCCTGACTACTTAATGTGACATTGGTCTTCTCCTGCACTTGGACTAGAACTTATATGATCAGCTCTCCTGATTCCCAGGCCTTCAGACTTGGGCTTGGAACTACAACATGGGCTGACCTAGGTCTCCAACTTGCTAAATACAGAGCTTGAGACTTCTCAGCATGAGATAGTTCCTTATAATAAATTTCTCTCTATCTATCTATCATCTATCTATCTATCTATCTATCTATCTATCTATCTATCTATCATCTATCATCTATCTATCTAATCTATCTATCATCTATCTATCTATCTATCTAATCTATCTATCATCTATCTATCTATCTATCTATCTATCTATCTATCTATCTATCTATCATCTATCTATCATCTATCTATCTATCATCTATCTAATCTATCATCTATCTATCATCTATCAATCTATATCTAGCTATCATCTGTCTGTCTATCTATCTATCATCTATCTATCTATCTATCTATCTATCTATCTATCTATCTATCTATCTATCTATCATCTATCTATCTATCTATCTATCTATCTATCTATCTATCTATCTATCTCAATCATCTATCTATCTATCATCTATCTATCATCTATCATCTCCTATTGGTCCTGCTTCATTGAAGAACCCTAATTAATACATACATACACTTACACATACANCAATCATCTATCTATCTATCATCTATCTATCATTTATCATCTCCTATTGGTTCTGCTTCATTGAAGAACCCTAATTAATACATACATACACTTACACATACACACTACTTATATAGACACACATATACATACATACAGGGTGGGGCAAACCGAGATTTACAGTTGTGAGTATGGGAAACAGGTTATTATTCTTATATTCTTATTTATTATTTATTGTATTATTTTCAATAGGAACAACTGTAAACCTACTTTTGTCCCACCCTGTATATACACATACTTCTTATACACACACACATACATACATACAAAGAAATAAATCAGCTCAGAAGAGCTCAGTCAAAATTCCCATTTAATATCTCAAAATCTACCTGACAGCAACCTTCACCCAAGAATAAAATGCATTTCTGTGTACCAGTTGCATAGATTTGCTTAATCTGATGTGTTTCAGGAAAAGAGAGTTCCGTTTTGGCTTGATTTTCAATGTACTCTCCTGGATGCAAGCACTCAGAATGCTAATATGCTGACAAATGCCAGACAAAGGGAGGAGAAAAGCGCCGTGTCTTACCTCTTGATATTTTTATTTGTTTCAGGATTCACTTTAATATGCCCACTGAGGTCTTGTTTTCTTTGAGTAAGAAAATAAAATTTAATGAGAGTTGTTAAAATAAAATACTAATCAAGTGAACAATGATTGGAAAAATTAAGTGGTAAATCTACAAGTTCTCTAGCATTGTAATTTTTCAAGCTCTAAATGCAAATGAAAATTCTCTTACATTTTGAGCTGAAGACTCAAAATGTAAGTTTATTTTTTTGTTAATAAGAAACATCTTTTTTTATTTTGTTCTCAAAATGCATAGTTATATGTGAAACTTATTATTTAACAAAATCAACTTTGCCTTCAGATAATCTTGTAAGAATACTCCAAATGGTCAGCATCGAAGTTAGATAAAGTTGTATCTAGATCCAGTCAGGATATAAATTTCTACTCAACAAATCACATATAATTGCCTATTCTGNGCTTTGCCTTCAGATAATCTTGTAAGAATACTCCAAATGGTCAGCATTGAAGTTAGATAAAGTTCTATACTAGATCCAGTCAGGATATAAATTTCTACTCAACAAATCACATATAATTGCCTATTCTGTTTTTTTTTAATATGAGTAATGTTAATAATAATGATAATAAGTTTAAAACATTAAAACTAATAAATATTATTACTAATAAATATTTTTAATAATAAAAATATATCCTTTCAAATAAACTCAACCATTTCCCCAACTCAAACCTTTTAAAAATAATTGGGTTATGATGAGTTACAAAGGACAAAAAAGAGATACCTTAGATGGTAGAAAAATTAATGACCCACTTCTCAGAGGACATGTTTCCCTCATTAAAATCCACTGAGTGATACCAAAAGGAGTAGAACCTGAACCAAAAAGGGACAGCAGAGGACAGCAACGGACCCTGGTTGAGTAGCCCTGCCCTGTCCCCAGAGTCAGGCGAGAAGCGGGAGGGTGTCCTCACTCCCAGCGGGTGTGCCTGCCCGCCCCTCCGCTGGCTGCCTTCTGAGGCCACCGTCCTTAGAGAAGTTCATTTACAAGAGTTTTAATGAAACCTCACTCTTGGCTATCTTTGTCATTTTGGAGTTCCACTTTGAAAATATCTAGACTGTGCTTTTGTTGGACACAAGAAATTCAACTAGTAACTCATTCTTAAAAATAAATCAAAGTCCAAAATCTTGGAGAAAAGGCAGCATTGGGACAATTCTTAAAAAGTAAGTGATTTTATTTTAGAGCAAGGAGGGAAGGCCATGTGGCCCATTGCTATTTTCCAAATCCACGCTAGTAAAATATGTTTGTGCAGTTAAAATGCCAACTCATTTTGTCTTATTAACTGTCAGTTACAGAAATCAGATTTAAGGCACTAATAGGTCTTGCCCAGTGGTATTTTCACTTCCTCTGGGATTCCTTTTGATAGCATTGTCAAGGTCTTCACCTCTTTTAAAAAAGTTTAGATCAGTTTCAAAGTATTATGGGTGTACATATATATATTCCATATTATTGATTAATTCAAGATTTTAAAGACTATTATTATAGTGATATTAAATTCATCTTTATTATAAAATTTCCTATAAATAATGTAGTTAAATTAATATTTGGGACTTAATTGGGCTGTATGTAAATGTAAATTCACATAGAATGTGCTGCAGACTCTCCACAGTGAAGGGCAGTGCAGCAGGGGTCAGACACAGAAGAGAGAAGACAAACTTAGAGATGAGACCCCCTCAGTATCACTGAGAAGATCACACAATTAATCTGATCAAAAATAACCAGGATTCGGAAACATCAAAGCAATTTTCACTCTCTGTTAGTTTTATCTACCCTGGCTTTTGCTTTGATGATTGTTTAGAGATCTTGAGTTCTTTGAAAAACCATGAAAACTTCATAGCAGTTAGGTCGCATTTGAATTTTATCTGAAATTCGTACAAACAAGAATGTCCCTGAAAGGATGTCAGATGTTTCCAGGGCCAGGTGACCAGAAAGACCCTTGATGTAACTATCCTTAGATTCTCTTTATTAATTTCCACAGTAGAACTTGCTTTAAATCAGTTTAGCAAAACTTGTTCACACACCTCTCACGTTGCAATTTTGTGCTTTATATTTCTTAATTTAAGTATAAAATTTGGCTCATTTTAAAATTATTTAAGAAAATACGGAATAAGAGATTATGTAGCAGGTTTTCCTAAATTTACTTTAATGTAATTCGAACATGTGGTCCTATGGAAACAGCATTCATCCTATTCCTTTGCCTAGTAATCTCTAATAGGCCTAAAAGTGCAACTTTCTCTGTGACAGAGGGAAGCATGGCACTCCCATTTTTAATGAGGTGTAAAAAGCTAACCTAAAAAAAAGAGAGCCCCCTCAAGTTAGAAGTTTTACTTACCCTTTCTCATTTTTGTCAGTCTTTTGATTAACGTGGATAAAACTGCCAAGGCCTTGGTTTCTTTATAGCATTGGGGCGGTGGTGAGGGGGGAGGGCAGAGCAACAGACAGAGAAAGAAATAGAACAATTCAATCTCTTATGACAAGAGCAGATTTCTCACAACAAGGGTAAGATGTTATCAGTACCTAAAATGTTGGAAGTTCTTAGAAATATTTAATTCAAGTGCCTCTACTCATGCAAAATGCCGATGAGTTATAGTAACTATTCTAATAGTAAGGTCCTAACAATCCTTCAGTTATGATTAAATCAATTCAACGTATAAATTCCCTCCAGCTCTCAGTTTTTTCTTTCTTTGTCTTTTATGAGTGAGTTGGCAGGGAGCCAACTTTAATGTCTGTTGAGACATTGTCTTCTTTAAACATGAAAATCGTTCACATCAGGGGTAGAAGTCAAACAATCAACATTTTTCACCTAAACGCATTGAAGTTTTAAAGAAGTCATTTTTAATAAAAAGTTCAAGGTTCTGAGTTACCTTGGAAAAGTGGAAATGACTCTGTGATGGCTCTAGTACTTGATATAAATTGACCATAACCAATAAAACTTTCACATGCCAATAACGTAAAACTATTAGGAGATGTAAGAACTTAACCCTTTAAAGTCCCCAATTGTCCAAGCATTCCCCTTTGCTATTTTCATGTCTCTGATTTCACTGTGATAAGACTATTGGTACTTTAATTTCTTTCAATATAAGAAAGAAAGAAGGGAGGGAGAGAGAGAGGGAAGAGTAAAAAGGGACTGTGGACTCCACCCACTACACCAACAAGATCAGAAATCCCTGCATCAAAGCCCAGTTGCTACTAAGTTATCCCAGATTACAAATCATTTTTGTTCTCTCCTCATTTCTAGTCCAAGAAATGACTTTTGTGGAATCATTTCTACTACTTTTCCACTACTTTTGTGGAACTTTCTAAACTTCATTTTTAAAATATCTTAAATCCGCCCGGCTGGGCGTGGCTCAGCAGTTGAGCATTGACCTATGATCCAGGCGATCGGGGTTTGATTCCTGGTCAGGGCACATGCCCAAGTTGTGGGCTGCAGCCAATCAATGACCCTCTCATCATTGATGTTTCTCTCTCTCTCCCCCTCTCCTTTCCTCTCTGTGAAGTCAATAAAAATATACTTAAAAAATAATAATAATAAAATAAAATATCTTAAATCCCATCTTTTCCTGTGAAGTTTATAAAATCACTTACAGAAAATTGGCTATTTTCTACTTCCTCTTTTCTCCACTTGAAAAAAGTTAACCAGTAATAATACTTGCACATTTACACTGTAATAATATATTGTCAACAAGCATTCCATGTCTGTGGGGTTATTGTCCTCAACACTCTCATGGAACAGACTTTCAGTGTTCTACGTTAGAGAAGGCTGAGAATGCATCTGCGAAGAGTGACATGGAAGGCTAGAACACCATTCTGTGCACAGACTGGCACAGATGAATAATTTTCAAGGATAGCCAAGACAGTAGAAATATTTATCATGTTAGGAAAGCAAACTTAATGACTAATAACTAATCAAATACAAGGTAAACAGCCAATCTGAGGAAAAAGCAGAGCTCTCATAAATCCTTACCCTTTGTCATTCTTGACTGTTCTGGGGTTTTCTTTAGTGAAACTGTCGAGGGTTTGGTTTCTTTCAACAGGAAAAAATAATATCAGTAACAAAAGTCATTTTTCTAGTATATCAGTAAGAGCCTAGAACTATAACTTAAAGACTATCATTCAGTTACTGATCATTCATTAACACTTTTTATGAGACAAAATAAATAAAAACATAGCTCTTGACTTTGAGATATTTACAAGTGTATTTGAAATATACATATGAAGTGACTCAACTAAGATTCCAACTGAAAATGGCCCTAGTGTATTATAAAGATTTCAATGGTGAGGGGCTATGCTCCCAGCATCAAAATGTCTTGTAATACATATATTTAGTTCATCAACCAGCCTATTGTCCACTACTTGTAACAGCCAGATTTCTTCCATTTTTAGATTTAAAAGGGAACTTGGAGATCATCTAGGTCATACCCTTCATTTTATGGGTAAGGAAACAGAAGTCTCCAGAGGTTAAGGGACTTGCCCTGGGTCACCCAGATTGATGGAGGTGGCAGAGCTGGCTTCAAGATATCCACCCATCTCCTGACCCTGATTGAGGGCCTGCTCCCTCAGCCTTCCGGACCCTGGTCTGAGCAGGCCGTCTGTCTCCCTCAGCAAACAGCGTACAGTCTGGGACTCAACCAAAGAGGCCTGTAAGAGTCTTCCTCAGACCTTACCCTTTGCCATCTTTGTTTGCCCGGATATTCAGAAAGATGAGACTCTCCAGGCTTTGAGCTCTGTAAAACAGAAAGAAATTCAAATAAAAAACTGCACATTGAAATAAAATTGTGTGGTATCTTGAAAGGTCAGTTATAATAAACATTCTTCATGAATTGCCCATTTACTCTTGGTGAACAAAAGAGCAGAAATCCTTCTGAGCAATTATGTCTGAACTAAATGTACAATACTGAGGGCACCACTCCATCTGCTAGGACGTTTTCATGCCAGAGGATACAACTCCCTTCCAGCTAATGTCTGAACGAATTAAACAAGCAATCTGGGAGATCACATTTTCAGATTAGAGACAGATGCACTTACCTTTTCTCTGTTTGCTCTGCCTTAGGAGTTGCTCTGAAGATGCCATCAAGACCTTGATTTCTTCAAATGTATTAAATAAAAAACCTTGTCAGTGGTAATAACAGATACTTTACTCCATAGACACATAGACCAGTTTACATCAAAGACAGTAAATAGAAGCTTGTTGGGAAAGATGAGCCTCAATTCTTGAAACTGCTTTATTCCAAACAGATATTTTCATAGGCTCAAAATTTAAATTGAAGTGGAACATAAAGAAAATAAAAGTTACAAATTGGGGATACACCACCCATAACAGGTACATAGATGTGTCGATGGGGTTCATGGAGTGTTTTTTATTTTAATGTGAGCCAATATTTATAAGATGGCCAAGAAACCTGAATTTTCAGGACCTCCTGATAATGTCCTGCAACGCTGGGCTCAGATTCTCACGCGGCAGCAATCAGCTGGAGCTGGGGAACAGCCGGGCTCTTGGGACAGGGCCTTCCCCGTGTCTCACAGAGCCAGCTCCCTTCGCTCATTCACACCTGCCAGGCCTCCATGGGCTTTGGAATCTATGATTCATGATTGAATACCTCCTTCTCTTTACAGAGAAAACTAAAACTCGGCAAGTTTAAGCGAGTTGTTGATAGTCAATCATATGAATCATTATTGTCAGAACAGGTATGAAAACCACATCTCTTGATTAATTAACTCATTTGACATTTGCTTTGTTTCTATTTTTCTTTGGTCCCAGTCCCTTCGGTATGTTAGGAGACAAAGTAACAGAGAAATAACTAAATTCCACACACCTCTAACACAAACCTCAATTTTTATAATTTTTAAAGTATGCAATTATAAGTGATTCAAAATAAGGAGATAATGTTACCTAAGATAACAAGTGGCTTTTGTGATGGTTAAACTAATAGCATTTAGTGATCAAACAAAACTTTGTTTACATACTAACCTAATATTTGAGGAAGAGAAATGTGGTTATTTATTTAACTGCTTTACTAAACAAATGGAGTGTGAAAAATCAAAGACACTTTAGTAATAGAATCTTTGGATTGTAATAACCATTTATAACAATGATGAAATGATGATTTGGGCAAGCTTTTTATTCAAGATTTGTAGGATTCTTGTGACTAGCCCACAATGTGGGTCCTCATGCTCAAATACTGAAGAGACATAAGAAATCACAATATGTAATTCAGTAATAAAGCAAAAAAATATATGTATTTTATTCTTACCTATTCAAGTCTTTGTTCATTTTGATGATATTATCCAATTCTTCACTTTTGGGAGAGAAAAAAAATCATATCACTAAAAGCCTGCCTAGAGTCAAAGGGCAGATTCACCTTAAAGCAACTATTTCTGAGTTCTCTGAAATACACCACTTATCCCACCTTTATCATTTATGAAAATACTGTCTATCCTTCAAAGCTGTCCTCAAACATCTCTTTCTCCAAGAAATTTTTCCCAGTCCTCCAACTGCATAGTCCCCTCCAGTTTTGGAATCCTTGCAGCATTTTGTCTCTTTGCACCTCCTTCATGTCATGTGCATTAATTACTACATTTGACATAGCAACTGCACGCTCGCCTCACATTACTGTCCCTGCTCCTGTACACACGAGTGTCTGTGCACACAGACACACTTAAAATTTAGAACTGTATTTTACCTCAGATCTTCTTCAGGCTTTAATATAGTGTCTTTCATCCAGTAGGTGCTTAATACCGGTTTTTAATGGAATCAACAAATTCAGGTACATTGACTAATTATAGATTCTATTTTTGCACAATGTACTCGCACAAAGCAGTTATTCAAAAACACTGGTTCATTGGTAGCCTGACTACTTTCTTGAATTCTACTCAACCTCACACCATGCCAGCTAAATCCGGTGTCCTGTTTCTGTGTTTGAGAACTGGAAAGCCTTCACTGGCTGCCTCTTCTGGAGCAGCATGTTTACGCGAATCCCCTGGGTTCCAGAATATCCTTGGAACCACGGCAGCTCAGCTCTCTGCCCGGAGAAGGCAGCCTCAGTGGGTTTCCTGTTCCTCTTTAGGCCCACCGCATGTCCTTTCCTCTTAGGTCCACCCACAACATCTAGTTTTTCAATTCACAAGTTTTGGTTCTCTCTGCGTCCTGATCTAGAATCACATGTTTTTCACACTCTCTCAATGGTTCTCTTTTTTCTTGATTCATTCCTGGTGTTAACTGGGAGGCTGCGAGGCCCAGTAACTTGATAGTTACAAGTTCAGGCTCCCAAGTGAGGGGTACCTGGATTCTCATGCAGGATTCCCCACTTATTAGTAGGTGACTCTGGGTGAGTTACCTAACCTCTTACCACCTTGACTTCTCCATCTGTAAAATAAGACTAGTAATTGTCCCCACCTCAGAAAACAATCAATAAGCTATTGAGTATAAAGTGCTTATTGTGAATGCCTGACAAACCATAAATTAATTTTGGCCATTATATTAAACAGTTCTCAGTCAATACTAAATTCTTCAGTTATAAATGGTTGCCATATTTATTTTTTAACTGCATTTGGAGATGACAAGACTCTGGCTTAGCCTTAGAGAGGTATAGCTGCTGAGTCACTTATGTGCTTTGAAGATGCCTGACACAAGGTAGCAACAGTCCTCTTACAGATCCTTTAGAACATGTTAGATCAACAACCATCACATCGATGAATCCATTCAGGTAATATTATGTATTAGGATTGAAGGCTGAGAATAAATACTGAAATATGAGAGGTACTGACTGTGAAAAAAAATTAACCTTCTCTCCTTGTGTGGGACAAACATGACCCAGTCCCCTGACACAATGCCCCATTGTCTTTTCTTGCTTGAAATTCTACCTTCCAACTCTGAGGCTGTGAATCTGTCCATGTCCCCAAGGGAAAGAGCAAACCTAAGAATCCTGTAAATTTTAGCCACAGGCCTTTCTGACTGGTGAGTCACAATGATGAGATTATCAGGGTTGGGGGTTGCTCATGTTTATCACAGGAAAATTAGCATAAATCATGAGGAGACACTCTGTAGCAAATTAAATTAAATGGAGATTACATCCTGAATGAAGAAGTTTAGCTTTTAAAATGACCGTAAATTGACGAAAGCTTTGGATATTAAGTTTCGCCATTGCATTTGCAATAAATTAAATGCTCTTAATCAGATAAGAGTAACAGCCCCTTTCACAAAGGAACATCACAAAGAGCAGCTGGGATAAATAAAGCTGTTCTAGTCCCGTCAGCGCCCCACAGTAACAATACTCGACTATCGATGCAACAGACATTTTCCCTGTGGATGCAACAGACATTTTTCCGTATCACTCACCTATCTCACTCTTAAACATCCCTTTCACCCACCACAAACTGCCTATTTTTAATCCCTANTCCGTATCACTCACCTATCTCTCTCTTAAACATCCCTTTCACCCACCACAAACTGCCTATTTTTAATCCCTACTAAAAACAAAATATTACCCAAACAAAAACAAGTAAGTACAATTAGAGATCTAACTTGATGAGAGACGAAAGGGAAATGAAACATTCCAAATCCTCTGTAGCGCCCCCTTCTGGAGCTTGTGAATTTGCACAGAAAAGCTAAGCGTAATTTCTGTTTCTTCTCGGCAGTTCCGAGTGAGACTGCAGTCCCTAATAACACGGCATCACTACTAAATTCCATCAAGCAAGAAAATGTGTAGGCGCGGGATCTAAGCTGTGAAATCTTTATACTCAGGGTTTTCTCACTGCTCATCATCATCTTACCTATGGCACTTTATAAACACATCTACTTTGTAGAAAGCATCCGGTCAGACTCAGTAAACGGCATATGATACATAGGAAAAAATATCTGCTCTAAGAGATTCACAGATAATAGAGACGATGAGGCATTTACATAGAAAACACGAAACAGCACCAAATATGATTAATTGTTATGAAATATAAATAGTGGAGCTCTAATAGTTTAGAGAACCAGAAGTCACATTTCACTAGGTTACTCAGGGTAGACTTCACAGAGGAGGTGATATTTGATCTGGGTCTTGAAAAATAGGTAGGACTTGGATGGACCAATAAGGTGATCTTGAGGCTGGAAATGGCTGCCATGGGTAGAATGGCATAAACAAAGGCGGAGCATCTGAAAACTACAGAAAGGAAGTAATTTAATTTGGTATTGAATGTAGGGTAACTGTCAGGGTACAGTCAGAAACAGCTCTAGGATGTTAGGTTGGAACAAGGTTATCAAAGGCCTTGAGTGAGGTTTCATGTGATTGAGTCGGCAATGGGGAACCAGTGAGTATTGTTCAAGCAGAATCTTAGGAAGAAAACTTTGGCAGGGATGGGTAGCAATGGGTTAGTGGGAGCAGAAACTGGAGGAGTGTAAGCAAATCTGGAGAGCTACTCAATAACCTATGGTGGAGTCACTGAGAGCTTGGAGAGGGGTGAGGCCATGAGGGCACAAGGGAAACTTTAGACATTTAATCCATGCATGCCTGATACTACATAGAGGGGAAAAGCCATGGACAGATCAAGACGATTCTGGAAAGATGAATAATAGAAGAGCGGGGAAGTAAGGAAGTAGCCCATTTGGGAAGGAGCTTGAATGTGGCCTAGGATGTTGTAAATGGGAGTGTTGGGGCGACAGATAGAGATCTGGACAAGCAGCCTAATTACAGGGCTGGTGGCTTAGAATGAGGTGAAGACCGTGGATAGCGGAGGTCACTGGGATGTGTACAGCCAGAAGAGAAAGCAGAGGAAGAAAAGTATCCATAGCTATCTGCACCGCCCAATTTTCAGGGACACCTGTGGACACTGATTCTTTCTCCTTTTAAATTCTATATTATAAACAGCACTGGAGTTTTGTTTATAGTTGGAACTTTAAGGTACTGGTTAAGCATTTCAAAAGACAGAGAGAAGAAATAACCAAGCTCAAACTCTGAGATCTCACCCCTTGTCAGTTTTCTGAAGTGAAGTAGCCACTTTGACGATGTTGTCAAGGTCCTGACGCCTTCAAACAATGAAAAATAAATACAAGTCAATGACAGTAAAGCTACCTTTGAAGCAGCTAAAATTTCTTATCTGTTCTTAGTGAAGAAAGCGATAGCTCATGTGTTATTTAGGGATTGTTGAGTCTAACTTAGTAACAAAATAGTCTATATTATCAGCTCATGGCACGTGTGCATGCACACACACACACACACACACACACACACACACACACACCACTGTCATTCCATCTGGGCATTGGTTCTGCCCTCTAGTGCTCACTGAAATAACTACAGTTTCTCCTGAAGACATAATAGGCTGCTACAAATTTCTAAACCTAAAAAAGGCTATGGAAAGAAAGTATGGTTAACTGCACAAGTAAGCACAGAAGTGTATTCAGAACTTTTCTACCAGAACCAAGGAGCATTGAGCAACGTACTCAGATAATTCATTCATCCCTCACATGAGGGGAAAAAGCACTGCCTTCTTAGGCTTCCAAAGGGGAAGAAAGTACATTGTAAACTACGGTACAGGGTACTCAGCGTAAATCCATGCAGGTCCCTCTAGATCGCGAAAAGGAATAATTGGGAAAATCCCTATAGGTTTCCCTGTAATTAATACTCATGTTTCACAAGCAATGTCTGATAAAGGTTAGGATTCCATGAAGAAAAAATTTTGTAGTTTAGTAAATTTAGGAAGTGTAACCAACATTTGGGGATTCAGAGGTATATATGCATACTTAAGGCTTTGAGAAGCCTCATGCCAGAGAACTCTATTTAACTGTATTTCCTCAGTGTCTTGGGCCAGTAAACCCTTTCACAGAACATTCATTAACGTCTGGCGGCACATGGGACACAGTCTGGGAAATGATGACCAGAGTTGTACTTTAAGTTATTAGGAGCTAGAGAAACACGATGTTTCCCAGAGGTAAGGTATCTGTGTGATGTATGTTTCAAACTCTGTTCTGGGAGTCAAAGCAAATGATTTTTTTCTGAAAAAAAAGTCTGTAAGTTTTGAACTTTGAAAATGCTTTCAGTCAAAAAGTTTTGACTAAAAAATTGGTTTATCGTAATGAGTAAAATGGTAAACTTATGGTGGTTTTTTACCAGAATAAAAATTGGCTTATCATATTAATAGACCTATAAAATATACGTCTGGCTCAAAAACTAATTTCAAAACTAGAGTTTTTTCTTAAAAAATAAATCATAATGATATATCCAAAACAAATCCTAATCTAGATGAGATGTGCAAGACAACAGGCGTAAATCAGGACTGTCATGGGGAACCCGTCCCCACAGTTGTCAATACAGTTGTGAGCCTCTTCCGGCAGGTAGAGCTGGATGAGACCTTTTTATACAGCCAATTCTAGGCCAAGCTTTTGTGGAACAAGTTCAATCGAATGGCTATATTTCCACCTATTCATTTATACATCAATAGCAACCTTAGGACAAGTGCTGGGAATGAAGAGGTGTTTTCCTGCCTAAGAGGTTTAATCTTATTCTGTTATCATGTTTAGGAAATTTTGGTTGTTTTCTTAACATAAATCTTAGAATAGAAATTAAAGAAATAAAATTCTTAGGTACATATAAAAATATTTATTACCCACTATATTGAAGTCAGCTGGAAAACTGATTTTATATATTTTATTATTATTTCATACTTTAAGTGTTCTAATAAAGCCTGCTTTATCATTTCCACAATTGCACAGATACAGAAATAGTTCACTGTACCTTATACTCCTTTCAGCAGATCTGTTGGTTTCTGTATATGCATTTGCTTTAGGTGGACAAATCTGCCTATATTTTAAAAGTTAAAGATAATGTTTGTTAGGTAAGAAAATCCTTCTCTGTGAAATTTACATTTATAAGAGAACATTATGTTCAAAAAGATCAAAGTGTATTGGAACACTATTTGAGATGACAAAAAACTAAAACTCGACCACATATCCTATTTGAGATTATAGAGTCCAATATATTAACTTTGCAATTGCACCTAGCTCATTTAATATATTTTAAACCACTAAATATATATAGAAATATATGCTCTAAATGTGTTCATTTCATGTCCATTTTAGTTTAGTTTCCAGCCATCAATCAAGCATTTTCATACTTATCTCTTTTAGATAATGATATAATATCTGAAAAGATTAAGAATCAGTTTTTGTTATTAGACATCAGAGGGATAATTTTTTAAGTTCCTTGGAGACATTCCATTTGAATACTATCAAGAAATACAATTGCTCAGATATATACGATGAGAAATAATTTTTCCCCTTTTTTTGTTTGTTTGTTTTTGTTAACCCTCACTCAAGGATATTTTTTCCATTGATTTTTAGAGAGAGTGGAAGGAAGGGAGGGAGAGAGAGAAAAAAACACATCAAAGCGAGAGAGACACGTCGATTGGTGCCTCCCACTTGCATCCCCACGGGGGCTGGAGATTGAACCTGCAACCCAAGTACGTGCCCTTGACTGGGAACTGAACCTGCAACCCTTCTGTCTGAGATGGACACTCTCATCACTGAACCACACCAGCCAGGGCAAGGGAAATATTTTTAAATTTCCAGTATACTCACCACATTGGGAATGACCACACTGAGTTGATAGAATTAAATTTTACAGTGTTAGGTTCTGTCACAATTTATGATATAAGGCTTTTCTCTGCTTTTTCCCCAAGTATCTTATTAACCTACTTACACATTCTTGCTTGTTCTCAAGAAACTATATTAAACTATTTTTTGTACTCCTGAGGACATGTGTTAATTACATAGGAAACACTTCCCTTTCATATTCTTTCATTAAAATCATCTTGCTGTGATTAAAGTAATCAGGACTTAAAGCATGTAAGCTGCCCTAATTTTATTTTTAGGATCAATGTGGAAGAAATAAATTAGAGTAGTAAAAATGGATTACACTAATTCCCATAGCATTTAGCTTCTTTTGAATCTACGTAAGTTCACTGCTCTAGAGTCACTAATTTTATATTTGAATTTAAGAGGTACTAAATCCAATTTATTTTAACCCCCTAAAAATGTTATTCAAATTAAAATTTAATTGTTAGTGTTATTAAAGAAAATATAATGTAAGATAAAAAGCTTGAGAAGTTATTTTTAAGAGTGTAATTATAACCATTGTGCAAATAAAAAGTTATAAACATGGCCTATATTTTTCATTAACTCAATGAAGACGTATTCTCTTGACTCATTAAAGATGGAACCTCTTATCCTAAGGACAATATTTTAAAGGCCCTGTGAAGTTTCACTGGATAGAAATTGAGACCTGGTTTTTAACTCAATAGGGTGAACACTTAATGCTACATATCTCTACCACCTAATCAGCATTTTCCAGCCGAAGCTATCCTCTGACTGAATAATAGTTCTAGAATTGTCTTACATGTTGTCAAAAAAAATCACCATCATAAAGCAAAAATACAAAAGAATCAAAGGCAGGCAATGAAGTGGATCTAATGTATTGTCTTCATTGAGACACCGTCTTAGATTTCACAATAATAATGGAAATGTGCACCGTACATCTTGAGAGATAATTTGAGCTTATTAAACAGTTTAATAGGAACACATGGGAAGATGTTCAGGTCTCTGAATTTGTTTCTCAGTACTAATTACAGTGTTAGAGATTCAAAGTGGAAATGCAGTCCATCTTTTTTTTCCCTGATTTGGAGATAAGTTCATTAGAACATTTTTTAAAATCTGTGATAGTTTTGAAGTAAATTATAAATTCCTTAGCTAAAACAAGACTAAAAAACTACCCAAAGGTATTTCTAACCTAAGGGAGGGTTTGAGCAGTGACACAAAGTTTCAAAAACATCTTTCATTGAAATTATAGCTCTTAATAGGAAACTTAGCTACGAGTGAATATACACAAAATGTATATGTGTGTATATATAATATATGTCAAATACATATATATATATGGACATGTATATTTATAAGATAAAGGGAGAGAGGGGCTCCTTGCGTATTGGTTCCTAATACATAAATTAGAGGATTCCTGAGCTTGAACACTTTCTGGACATGAAGGTTGTTCAATTTCTATCTTGAAAGTGTATCTCCAAAGACAAGTAATGGTCATAAGTATTCAAAGGCAAACATAAACACACACTTGTGTTGACAAACAAAAGTAGAAAAGCTTTTTACATGTGCTTCCTCAGTAAATGTGCACACAAAACACACCCATGCTTTACACAAAACAGGGCACAGTTCAATTGCTTTCATTTCCCTTGACTGTGTTCATTTTGGAAATTTTGGTGTGGTAGGTCTTACCTATTATCCCGTCTCAGATGGCTAGGAGATAAAACTGGAGAACTGGGCTTTGGAGGTATTGGAGGGTGAACAGCTGGTTCCCTTTAAAACAGAATACAGCAGTTCATTTCACCATGGAAACACAGTCTATTTTAGCATCTATCCATTGAATGCATGTATTATTACCTATATGAAAATATCTTATGCATCTTACACACATCCCCATACATGAGGTAACTGTAAAGGTCAAAATCTATAAAGCACTAAACGTTAAAGAAGTCAAATATTTAAATTATGGATACTTTAATATTTAATCAAAATTTTGGAAGTCATATCTTCTTTAACTGTGGTTTGAAACATAATGTTTTCTTTAAACGGCTTAATATCTTGCTGGGCTATCTAGCTCAAGTCGTAGCATTTTGGGTCAGCAGCGCATGAGCACAGTAAATGGCTCTTGGGCTTTAATATATAAGCTCCTCTAGGAATTACGTCAACTATCAGGCTGCTGCAGAAACAGCAACGACGGTTTTCAATTCCACAGGCCTCAAGGAAAAGTTGATTTGAAGCTCTTTACTAAATCCAACTTAAATACTGTCAGTACAGGCCAGTTTGGCGCTAGAAAGCATATATGTATATACGACCAGCCTAAACTTTGCAAGTGCCAAGGCAGCCTCTAAGCTCGCCCGACTGGGCGGCCTCGGAGCTGGCGTTGGGCAGCCACCTGCAGATTTTGGAGGGAGCCAGAATCTTACCCAGGGCGTGTCACTCCCGCACCACAGCCATCCAGCTGTTCCGTGTTATCCTCAAGGTAAATTCCACACCTAGTAAAAGGGGCCTTGTGATCTCGACTCCAGGTCCCTCTCTGGCTTCTGCAGCACACTAGGTGAGCATGCGGGCTCTAGACCCAGGCTGCCTGAATGGTCAGCTGTGTGATTGTGAGTTAACCTGATTCAGTTTCTTCATCTGTAACAACCCTTCTCACAGGATTGCGGGGCACTGTCAGAACTGAATGGGATCATGCTTGTACTTAACAAACACTTATTGGTAACTTTCTATGTATGAGGCACTCTACAGAGTGGACAATTTCTCTGTCTCCCTTTTTTTCTTTTTTTCTTTTTTAATATATCTTTATTGATTTCAGAGAGAGGAAAGGAGAGAGAGAGACAGACAGACAGAAACATCAATGATGAGAGAGTCATTGGGGATCGAGCCCGCAACCGGGGCATGTGCCCTGACCGAGAATCGAACCCCGATCGCCTGGATCCCAGGTCGATGCTCAACCGCTGAGCCACGCCCGGCCGGGCAAAGGCTTTTTCAATACACAAATAAATATATGACAGATGGAGAAAAGTGTTATGAAGAAAAATAACACATAGTAAGGGGATATAGAGTAATGGGGTAGGAATAGTATTTTATATAGAATGGCCTGGGAAGGCCTCTGTGTGAGGTAAAATTTGAGACAATAACTGAAGGAAGTGATAAAATGAGCCACGAGAACATCCACGGAAGAGCGCGTAAATATGGGCATGATCAGATTAGAGACAGTTTAATACTTGAAACTGGACAAAATCACCAAGGGTGTCAGTATAAGTAGAGACAAAAAGGGCCAAGCATTGAACCCCAGGCCCCGCAATATTTTTAGATATCAAGAACATGAGAAGAAAACAGTGAAAGGGCGTGGGGAGGAACGGCCAAGGAGAAAAGAAACATGAGGGTGTGGTATCAAGGAGTAGCAGCCTTTAAGGAGCAACCGGCCGTGCCAAAGGCTGCTGACAGATCAGCTAAAACAAGGCCCGGGAAGTGACCGTGGCTTTGGTAAGACAGTGGTCACTGGTAACCTGATAAGAGTGGTTTTGTTGGAGCAGTGGGGGAAAACACTACAGGAGTGGGCTCGGGAGGAAATGGGAGGTGGTGACATCGGGGTGTTTCCCCGTGAGGGGAGGAGCGAGACATGCACATAGCTGCCTGAAGGTGACAGGCCAAGGGAGGCTGCCAGAGCCGGGGGACACGGCGGTGGAATAAACCCATGGAAGAGGCTAAATTTGATGGTGCAGGAGGTGGGAAATCTGAACCGGGAACCCCGGCTCCGTGACCCCCCCAGGCTAAGCCGCCTGTCAGCGCTCCTGGGGCCGCAGCCGAGGCTCAGTGGAGGTGAGTGCTCCTCGCTTCAGGCGCCACACGCAGCCGCTTCGGGCGGCGCGGGAATGCACAGCGAGCTGACTTAACTGAGCTGATGATGCAGCCAAGTGTGTACAACAAGCGAGTAAGGGCAAGGGAGGGGAGCGGGTGCACCTGGGAATCCGGGATCACCTTGGGGGGCCGCGAGGTCTGAGATGGGCATGGAGGGAAATGGGACATGGGGGGTGTGGGGGTGAGGAACTGTGAAAAGATAGTAACATCGATGGATTGGAGGTTGCGGTGGGGTTGAGAAATTTCTGGAATCCGAAAACTGAAGGGAGTGAGCTGGACAGACAGAAAGTGGAAGCCAGAGAAAGCAAGCTTCGAAACAGAGAGTCTGTGCTGCATGCGGTTACCTACAAGGGCAAGACCTCGTGTCATTCTGTACTCAACCAACACTCTTCCAGGTATTTCCAGTGAAAATCTAATAACAACAGTTGTCTTGTATTCTTTCCCTGCCCAAAGAAGGAGTCATTAGCTCAACAAATACTTATTCCACAATTACCCCAGTTACACTGTGAGGACACACAAGCAGTGCATGAGGCAAAACTGGTGATTCAAAAAGGGGTGTGGTGCACGCTGTCAGAGAGCTTACAGAATACAAGGCACATGTTCAGAAGCATGACTGTTGCTGATGTCTCACTTTCTAGCAGCCAGTGGCCTTTAATAAGTCATAACACAGCAATGGAGCACACAGTGGGCTAGGATTCCAGAGGTCTAGGTTCTAGACTGGCTCTGCCACTCACTTTCAGATTCTCTCTAAACCTCTGCTTATTTATACATAAAAGGAAAAGATTGGTCCAGATCTGTGGCTTCAAACCACTACACGGCTATGGGTAGGCAGAGTTATATAGTAAGGAATCCTCAATTCCATGGTGCCCAAGTACTTGCTATAGACCAAGTACCTTGCACATTCCTATGTTGCATTTTCCAAATGTGTATAGATGTTGTTGTGGTTCATAAAATCTTAATTAGTATAATATACGTTGGATCTATAAGAACATAAATAAACTTTTTAGCTGGCCAGTAGACACAAAGAGACACAATTTTAAAGTACTGGTGAATTCATAGCATCTTTTGGTCCTTTGATGTTTTCTCGAAGACATAGTAAGAACAGTCCAACTATTATCAGGTGAAATTGTAATTATTTTCAGCATTAACAATGAGCCTACTTGAAATGAATCATAGGCCTACAAGTGAAACATACAACTATAAAGTATTTAGAAGAAAAATATTTGTGACCATGGAGTAGGCAAAGAGTTCTTAGATATAGCACCAACAGCACAATTCATTTTTTTTTTAAACTTGATAAATCAGACTTAATTAAATTAAAAAAATTTGCTTTGCAAAATACATTAATAGCATGAAAATAAAAGCCACACACTGGGGGAAAATATTTGCCAATCACATATCTGACAAAGAACTAGTAAGCAAAATGTATTTTTAAAAAACTCTTAAAAGTAAACAGTAAGTAAAGAAACCACCAATCAAAAAAATAGGTAAATGATTGGAACAGATATTTCACCAAAGACGTATGTATGACAAATAAGCATATGAAAAGATGCTCAACATCATTAGTCTCTAAGGAAATGCAAATTTAAACCATGATGAGATATACTGCACACCAATTTGAATGGCTAGAATACATTTTTTTAAACTGATAATATTAAGTGATGTTAAGAAAATGAAAAAATATAAACTCTCATATATTGCTTGTGGGAATGCAAAATAGTACAGCCACTTTAAAAGATATTTGGTGGTTTCTCATAATGTTAACATGTACTCACTATATGACCTAGCAATCTCACTTGTAGGCATTTATTCAAGAGATATAAATACATATGTTCAAATGAAAATGTGTATGTGAACATTTAAAGCATCTTGGGAAACAAAAGATACCTTTCAACTGGTGAATAGATAAATGGACTTTGTATCTCCATACAATGGAATACTACTCAGCAATGAAAAGGAACGAAGTATTAATATATGCAACAGCATGGAAAAATCTCACATGCATTATGCTAAGTGAAAGAAGCTAGATTCAAAAGGTTTTATATACTGTGTTATTCCACTCACATGCCATTCTGCACATGTCCAAGAGGGAGAAGAGAGGTGAGAGGAAGAAGTGTCCCCCATTAGCTGAGTATGAGGACAGTCCTAAGTAAAATGTTGGTCCTTGCACTCCCCACCTGGTATTCCTACTGTCTTCCCTCAAGGCTCATGGGAGCTCAGTATGCTCCTGTCACTCACACCCAGACTTCCCTGCCCCCCAGAGGCTGCTTGCTCCAAAGCCATCTCCTCTCCGCAATATCCCAACCACCATTCCCTCAGTGTGCTCCAATTCTGCCCAGTTTTAGCAGAAAGGAAACCTCATTTATGTAACTGACACTAAGATTTGAACGACCATAGACAGCCTGTCAGCCTGTCAGATGTTCATGCTATTAACTGAGGTGAGACTTATCATCTCTAGTTGATAACCTTCAGGCAATACTACTAAACAGTGAAGTAATTTTTGGCTTTTACGGCTGCGGCAGAAGGAGCTGTAGCTTGGAGGAGGATGACGTTTGGGGCAGAGAGCTTGCCCCAAGGTATCCTGATTCTCACAGTCCCTTCTTCGCCTATGCTTCTGAACCCGAAGGTCCCTCCTTTGCCAGACCTCAAGGGGCACCTCTGCCAGTGACAGGGGCAGCAGGGCCCATGAGCGGGAGGGGCAGCGGGAATCTGGGTGGAGGGGAAACAGGGATGCTTTTCGTTTGCTGCTGTTCTTTGAATGTACGTGTTACTTAAGACCAGCGTCAGGAGGTCAGGCACCGCCTGTGCTGCCCTACAGGGCTGAGGGAAAAGCGGCTGTTAGCCAAAGGTCCAGGCCTTCATTTCCACATCGTGAATTTGCTCCCTCCTTATTTTATTTGAACACTTTTTAA